ATTCAATTTTATGTCTTACAGGGTTTATACTGAGTTCAATATTGTATAACTGTATTAATTTAACTGTGAACCTAAAAATTTATAGTCACTTTTGAAAGAGATGTATCCTTGCTCTGGAAATTGTTACTGAATATGTTAAAGCTGAAGGAACAGCTTCTTTCTAATCATGTGGTTATTAAATAAAAAAAAATTTAATTTAAAAAACACAGCAGGAAGGTGGTCCTGAGCAAAGGGCTCAAGAGTGAGGGATGGAGACATCAAGAAGGAGGAACAGAGGCCTCCACTCCAGAGTGAGGATGAAGGCCTTGAGAGTGAGGGATGAGACATTGACGTTCACCAGGAAGGGCCATGCAGAGAGACAGGGACAGCTAAGACAGGAACACATAGGACATGACTAGGGCAGCTGAGACTGGTGTGGCTAGAGTGAGGGGGAGAGTGGAATGGAGCTCAGAGGCCTGAGTGAGGCAGTGGGGAGGGCAGAGGCTTTGTGAAGGCTATAAGCCACAGAGACCATGGCCTGCCGAGCTGCTGTGCTGAAATCACATTGCAGTGGATCAGGGAGAAAGTGTGGCAACCCACTGGACACTCGTGGGAAGTGGTGGTGGGAATGGTAACAAAAGACCCCAAAGGCCATTGTCTGGGATCTGATTTTGAAGGGAGGGCTGACAGAGCGTTTGGACGAGTAGGATGCAGGATGTGGGAGAGTGGGAGACAGAGGTGGGCAGGGTTGAGGCTTTTTGCTTCAACATGTTACTTTGAGATGTCTTTTTTGGGAGTGGGGGGCTTTTTGAGACAGGGTCTCTCTATAGCCCCAGCTAGCCTGAAACTCTCTATGTAGACAAGGCTGGCCTTGAGCTCACAGAGATCCCCTGCCTCTGTCTCCTGAGTGCTGGTATTAAAGGCATGTACCACCACGGGTTAACTTTGAGATATCTTAGACACATATATATGAGAATCAGGAGTTCATATGAGAGGTTCCAGGCTGAAACAAGAGAACTGGTATCCAGGGTCCAGGAACAGTCAAAACCATGATATGGTATGCCAGATCATCAGTAAGGATGTGTGGGTAGGACAGGTCCTGCCTGGGTCTCTTCCAGGCTTTTTTGGTTATCCATAGCTTATGACACTCTGGATTGGTCATGTTGATGATCCCAATTAACAGCCTGCCTTTTCTTTACAATAATGTGATAGGCTTTTGTTGCATAGGACTGTCCTCTGACAGACGGACCAGGAACAGAGGTCACCTTCCCAAGCTTGGTTGTGCTTGCTTACCTAGGATCATCACAGCTAAGCTTGTTGACTGTCATGCTCTGCAGGGAAGGAGGGGCAGGAAGAGCTACAGGACCCTCCCAACCAACCAACTGTATGAGGGGGAGGGATTATATAAGAGGACAGATGAGCTGAGGAAACCTAGGGGAGACTCTCTTGCCACCGTTTTGTGTGGTGGCAGGGAAGCTTCCATCCATGCTCGGATGAAGTCTTCCCAGTGTGGCCTTCATGGGGGGAGGGGGAGCACCCACCCTCCTGTAAGTAAACCCTTACCCACTGCTCTGTAAGTAAGCCTGATAACCTCACTGGTTCCCAGACAGCAGTTGGGTGAAATTGTATCATGGTTCGTTGTTGGGACCAAGGGAGGAGGGGGCAGATGTTGTTACACCCCTCCGGAAGGAATTTTAGCTACAACTTTCATCCTGAGTCTGGACTCAACCACATGACTTCCTATGGTCAAAATAACATTGGTGGACTTCCAAACCCAGAGTTTAAAAAAGCACACTCAGGTTCCAGTTTCATCTCTTGTCCCCCTAGTTTCATGGTGAGAAGATGCCTGCTTCCTCCCAGAATCCTGTTGCCACTGAGACAAAACAAGACTGGCCTCTGATGCAGAGAGACTACAAGCAGCATGGCAGAGCCATCTTAGTCAAGCCATCCCAGGTCAGCTGGTCCCCAAGAAGCCACAGCTTCCTGCAGACCCTAAGTGGTCTCAGTCTGAATCAGGAGACCCTTCTAACTAACCACAGACCCCTACTTGTCATTTCAAGCCCATCAGTCTTAATGGTTTGTTATACAGCTGTGACTGACTGGTGTACAGGATAAAAGTTTCTAGAGAGAGAGGGAGAGAATGCTGGGCATCTGGTCCCATGGAGGAGGGAGGAATGTTCCTTCCTAACTTCAAGCCAGGAGAATAACTCAGCTTATGTCCCCTAGGATTTGAGGAATGTAGGGGCTCAAGGCTGACTCATCTCCAAAGGCCCTGGGAAAGGCTTGCACTTTCAGCAAGGGTAAGCATGCTTCCCATGGGCCAGACCTGGCACTTACATAGTAGATATTGGCCAAGACAATCATCCAGAGGTACAAGGTAACCCTAACCTAGGGGCTGACCAGATGTCTGGTCTGAAGAGTGCGTTGTAAGTGACCAAATGAAATGGGTTATTCTAGCAGGAGAGCCCAGTGCTAGGAGGGCTAGAACTCACAAAGGCACCTGGAAAAACCACAACCAGGGAATACCTACAGCAGCTCACACATGCCCAGAAAAGGAGGCCCTTCTGTATGCCCTGCCTGCTCCCTCCCTTCAGAAGTGGAGTAGGAGGGGCGAACATGAGAGAAGCAGGGTCTTCTTCCCAAGCCAGAACTAGATCCACAAAGTGAGGGCAAGGTTTGTTTTAAATTGATGAATCCGGAGTTCTGATATCAGACAGGCCTGGACTTCTTATATCTAAAACTGACTGGAAGAGGAGTGGGACTAGGAAAAGCCTGTGAAGCAAGTGGGCTGGGAGGCCAGTTGAGCCCACCAGACCATTTCTAGTGTGGTATGTGTACAGGGGCCGTCCAGCCCCTCCCCTCCACTCACATTCCCTGGAATTAGTCCTCTACCCTCAGGGCTCCCTGATAATTACCCTGACAATTTTCAAACCTCCGTCTCCAGCTTGGATTCTCCCAAGAGATTCAGGCTGTCCTGTGGTAGGTTTGCACCAGCTCCAGAACCTTCCTGTAGCTTGGTCACCACATAGTGTCCACTCAGATGCTTGGGCCAGAAACCTCCATGTCTCCACAGCTAACAACATTCACCCAGTCCACCCTCACCCTCATTTCTCCTCACCCCTGCTGGTGTTTCCTATGAAGCAGCTCCAGTCTCCCTTGTCCCGTCCCACAGCCACTACCCTGGGCCATCCCAATTCTGTCTTCCTCTCCTGCCACACTCCGCTCCATAACTTCTCTGGTGGCCAGAGAGAGCCTTTGGCATTGGACCATATCACCGCTCTGTTTTAAAGCCATGTCCTGGGCCAGGGCTGTAGCTCAGGGGTGGAACATTTGCCCAGCATGGGCAAGGCCCTGGGCTCCATTCTCAACACTGCAGAAATCTGTTTCCTGTGGCCTTTAGGAATGGGCTGGCATGCCACAGCCTTTCTCTCCTCAAACTGGAAAGGCCACACTACCTCTTTAACCCTTGTCTCCTTATTCATGCAACAGGATCAATAATGGACTGCTGGCCTCCTACCTTGTAGGCTGGGTGCCCACAGCTGCTTGTGGGATCAGCTCATCCACCCTCTTCAGCCTGTCCTGCCCCCACCTGTCTCCAGCCCCATGGAAAAGATGGCAGAGTGGAGCCCAGCAGGCAGCCCAGGGGCTGCCAATGTCAGGGCATCAGAGGGTCATAACCTCTGGATGAAATTCATTCTGCCCCTTATTGCCACATGTCATCAAGAGCAGACCCCAACTCCATGCCCTATGTACCCTTTGGAGGCCACATGGGGCACCTATGCCAGGCCTGGGGCTCCCCAGAGGATATGGGTGGGGAATTACCGGACGAGGTCCAGCAGGGCATCGGCTGAGCTCATCACTGGCTTCCCACTCTGCTCGGTCGTCTCTTTCTGGGCTGCACTACCAGGGTGGATAATGGAGACCATGATGATGCCCACAACAACGGCCAGAAAGGTGGTCCATAGGTAGTATGCCACAGTGAGGATGCCTAGGCGACTGGCGGTCTTAGCATCCAGGGAGGCAAGGCCAGACATCAAGCTGGGAGGCAAAGTGGGTCAGGTCAGTGGAAAGCAAAGACCTTGGCCAGACACTCTGGTGTGCCCACAGTGGCTCCCTCCCCTCTATGCCCAGTACCCCATATATTCCAAGGAATCTCCCTCTCAGTCACCCAGTCCTGAGGCTCCTTGCCTCTCTTGCTAATCTCTGTCTTTCTGTCTCTTTCTCTGTCTCTGTTTCTCTGTCTCTGTCTCATTCGGTGTCACCTCTACAGCAGAGCCTTTTACATTACCTGCCAGTGTTAGGGGCCATTTCTGGGACTCCTTCAGTCCCTGGCCTCCTCTGTCATGACCCTAATTGTCACTGTGTTTCACCTGCTTAATTCAGTCACTGGATAGAGTGCACGTGAGAGAGATGTCTGACTTCTCTGTGGGTTCCCAATGCCCAGCACCATCTGACCATAAGCTACTGGCTCCTGCAGGCTCTGAAGGAACTAATGGGTGAGGGGGAGTCAGTGACCTGGGCTCCAGCCCATCTGCCAGCTGGTCACTCTTCCATCTAGGGGTCCCAGAATTCCTGTCTCTGAATAAGACCACAGAGGCACCTCTCTCAGTGTGCCTGAGCCCAGACTGTCCCCTCAGCAGGCCAGGATTGAGGGTGTGTGCCTCTGTTGTGGCTGATGGGGAGGGAGTGTGAGAGATTAATTAAGGAAATGCCTGTGCTTTGTTTTGCTGCCAGAAGGATTTTTCCCTAAAGCCCTTTCATTCTTTCAGATAAAGGAAGTATTTGTCTGGTTTTAATCCTGTAAACAAGAGCAGATAATCCCTCCCCATCCAGTTTTGCTCCTTATCTGTAGTCTATACACAGCAGCAGCTAGTGCCAAACCCACCACACAGAGCAGGCCTCATTCATTGGCGAGGTGGGGCAGCTCTGTCTGCCCCTGTGGAGGAGGCTGGCCCAGGCCTCCTTGAGGCATCTTCTGACCTCAGGACTCCTCCCCAGTCCCTGTGTTTTCTCCTGTCCCCATCCTCACTTCACTGAATTGTTTCATAACATGCCCCTGACAGGCTGGGTCAGGGTCTGATGGGATGCATGGGCCAGTCCAGACTGGGTCCAGAGTGCTGCTCCATAGCAGGTGGTTGAATGAAGGAGAGAATGAATGAATGAATGAATGAATGAATGAATGAATGAATGAAGCCAGTGTTCAGAAGCTCTGTCCTCCCCCTTTGCCAGAATGCCATATGTTAGTGATGGGCTTAGGGCTGGTCTCAGACATAAATTCCAAAGCCCAGTAATGGGATTGTCAGCCAGAGGAAACTGGGCTGCTGTGACCAATGTCCAAGAAAGATTACTGTTGTCCTCCCTTTACAGCAGAACCTTGCTGTCAAGTCTACCTGCCACAGGCCATGGGGAAACGGCCCCTGAAAGGACGTGCCCAAGTTCATCCCAACATTAGTGTCCAGCTAGACCAGAACTCAGGTCAGCTCCCAGCTTGTTTGATCTCACCTGTGCCCAAAGATCCTGTCCCTGACCTCAGGGAACACTGACTCTAGCAGCAAGTAGGGAGGGTGGAGAACAAGGACACAGGGGCAGAAGAGGACACTAGAAGATAGACAAGTCAGTACAGCAAGGAAGGGGACAGCAAAGGCCTTTCTGTTAGAGGTGAGGGCATCCTCTAGCTAGGACACTAGTGAAGGGCTTCTTGAGTCGTAGTGTTGGAGTTGGTTCTTGGGAAATGGGGAGGATTTAGAGATGGGGCAGATGGGGCAGGCAACAGAAAAGACAGATTGAGCACAGGAGTAGGTGACCTTAAATGGTAGGTCGTGGGGACTGGGAGCCACCACGGAGTGCAGAGGAGAGAGCAGGCCGGTGCCTCAGCATACTATGTCTAAAATTTGCTGAATGTGTGAGGACAGAACTAAAGTTTCCTGAGATTTGAGGGCATCAATGTAAACAATGTACATGATAATCACTGAGGTAGACAAGAGCAAAATTTTGGATCTTAAAAAAGTTATCCATACACCAGTGTGCTAGGCAGCCATTGTAAGGCACAGGCTTTGTACCTGGAAAGATGTTCCTAACATGAAATGGGAAGGTGATTTTCCAGCAGGGAGCCCTGAAGCCTCTTGGGAAAAAAACTCCTCGCCAAAACTTATAGTCCAGATCTAGAGATGGGCTTGAAGGATTGTGTGGACAGGGCACAAATGAGAACCAGACTTCAGAAAGGACAAAGACCCCTGAGAAAGAAGGGGCCCAATGGGGTGGTGCCAACTTGGACACGTAAGATGTGAGAGAGGGAGTTCAAGCTCTACGTACAACTCAAAGGCCCTATGGCCCAGCCCCAAGGGGCACCAATGCTTAGAAAGATACAATAGAAGTTCTGCCACATGGGGCCATGCATCTCTGCTCAGGAACCTCCTTCATCTAGTGAACAGGACTGGTGAGCTGAGATGCAGCAGGTGGGTGGAAGCTTTGACCACAGCTAAGAGAACAGGTGGCTCCCCTGGCTGGTGCTTCTAGTGCCCAGAGTGACCACAGGCCATGGCAGTGGCTAAGAAGACTGGGAGGAACGTACGGGAGAGCACTAACCCTGTGTGAGACCAGTGCCACTCCTGAGACTGGTTTTCGTAATGAAGGAAGTGGAAGGTTCTGCTGTTTGGTCTTTGGGGTTCCTCCTGGTGGGGAGCGCCTCAAGAGCCAAGACTTGGGAGCCACGGTGCTAAAGTGACTTTTCTGAGAATGGACAAACTGGGACATGACGGTGCTTGGGGAAGTGTTAGGCCGCATGGACGTTTGCATACATATGTGCACACACACATTCCAGAAAGAATAAAATAGTGGCAGTTTTCCTTGGATGGGGGAAAGGTCTTTGGTATTTTGCCTTTCCTGTTTCCCTGTGTTCTCTTTGATCTTTAGAGATAACATGTCTTGTATGGTGGAAAAAATAGCCCTGGACACTCTGCCCATCAGCTCCAAAAACTGCAATTTTCCAGGAGCTTTTCTGTTCCCCCAGAGACTTGAGTATCTGCCTCATTCCATCATAAAATAGCATTGTAAGGCAGTGGTGCCATGTGGAATCCTGATGCCAGCCACATAAGTCATTTAAATTTTTTAGTAGTCACCTTTTTTTCTTGATAGCCTGGGCCCAAACTCTTGGCAATCCTCCTGCCTCAGCCTCCCAAGTGCTGAGATTATAGGTCTATGCACTTAGTAGTCATTTTAGAAAAGCTAAAAAAGGCCAGGCCAGCTTGGACTACATAGCGAGGCCCTGTCTCAAAAGGAAGAAGAAAAGAAAAAGGAAACCTGAAATTCATTTTTGTGTGAAATCTATTTAATAATACTTTAACCCAGTATATCTAATGTATTACTATTCCAATGTAAAACCAATGTAACTGTTCGCACTGTTCAGGCTTTAAATGTAAATAAAAATTCATTAATGAAATTGAAAGTGCAGTTCCTCAGTGGTAGGAGCTTCCTTTCAAGTGCTCGATAGCGCTGCTGCCTAGTGACTATGATATTGAGCGGGCTGGGGCTGGGTTATATAAGGATAAGGACAAAGGAGCTTGAGACATGGAGCTATGTGGCCAGGCTGCTCAGGAAGGAAGCTCTAGAGTCAAGACTGGAAACTCAAGACTGGAACGTGGATTTTGATTCCCTCTCTTACAGTGTTTCCTGGTGGTAGTGTCCTGGTTTAACTCCTTGTGGTGGAGGGGTCTGGTTTGGGATGATGACTGTAATGTGATCCAGCCCATGGAATCCTTTTCAGTTCAGTTCTTAGAGTTCTGATCTATATACAGCTATAGTCCTCAGATTTGTGATGATAAGCCTGCCATATCTGGTGGTACCCAAGTAGAGCCTAGGCCAGCTATTAGGATGCTAGACCAAGGTTTCCGGATAGAAAAGTAGGTCCCACAGAGATGACCTCAGATGTTCCTCCTGGCTCTGTGGCTTAGAGACAATAGTCATGTTGCCTGTTCTACTCCAGGCTTGGCGAGGCGCTCCTGGGGGCGGGGGTGCCTGAGGTCAGTAAGGAAGATGAGAGGCCAGAGGCCAAATCTCCCTCCCAAGCCATATGGTCACCACTGGGTGCCCAGGGATTGGGGATCAAGAGACTGAGGTGATTAGAGACATCAGCCTGCAGAGGCGGTGGGGAGCTGGCCCAGCTCCCAGCCTCTTTCAATCTGCAGAGGCGGGGGTGGGGGAGACCTCAACTGCCAGATTCCTGGTGGAGGGTGAAGGCTTCCCAGGTACCTTACCTGGTTCCCATATCAACCTCCAGGTGAGAACTGTGATTTCCATCTTAGACCAGGTAGCTCTGGATAGTTCAGTCATTTGCCCAAGGGCAGGTAACACAAGAGTAGACAGGATTCAAGGGGATTCCTTTGAGGCTCTGCCCACTTGCTGCACCCATGCACCTTACTGTAGAGAGCCTTGTGGCCCCCCAGGCTACAGGTGCTCCTGCCTCAGTTTTTGTCCTCCAGGGACTCCCCACTGCCACTGTGAAACCACTTTGGACCCACTGTGCCTGCCTCACTCTTCTCACCTGCTCCAGCTACCCGATTCATTCTGGGCTCCCGGAACTGCCTTTGCAGGTGCTTCCTCCAGCGGGACCTCTCTATCCACTCCTCTCCTTGTCCTCTACCAGCACAGCTCTGTTGCCGGGGCCAAGGTCATCTTAAAAACCACGTCCTCTGGAGGTCTTCCCTGAGGGTGGCCACCTCAGTCATCTTCCCTGGGAATCCCTGTGCCTTCCAGTTTGTTAAAGGACACCGTTGACGGTATGCTTACCCCAACTTCCCAAAACCAGACACAGAGTTCAGCCCAAAGTGGCAGTGGAGGAGTGTGACGTGGGGAAGGTGAGAGACTAGGTCCCTTCCGTCCAATTCCCTGATCTTCCGTTTCTATCTTCCTGTCTCCCTGCTGCTCACTGCAGATGTCTCTCCCAAGGGCTCCCTGAGCCCCCAGCTGGACTAAGAGCTCATGCACCACACCTTGCTAGCCTCATTAGCCCTCTTTAGCCTCAGTTGCCTTGGGCAATTTAC